AGAGGAAAGAAAAAGTAGAGTTTCTTTTAATATTACATATCGTTTAATAGTCAATTTAATTTGAATATTTTACTCATCAATTTGCTCTAAAAAAATTCTCCAGGTAAAATGGGTTAGATTTCGATTAGAGTTTTCTATTAATATTTTACTTTAGTTCTTTTAATTTTAGGATAATATAAGGCAAAGGAAATTATCTTCTACTAATTTTAGAGCTGTATTAACCGCTGCTAGAAACTTTACAATTCTTATAGGATTATTCTCACTATATTGTACTGTAGCAGATATATTTGGTTGAATTTCTCAAATAGTAATTCTATTATATATATTCTTATACATAAATTTATATGCTTTTGAGTAAATGTTTTTTAGGTGGATATTTAGTTTTATTTGATTTTATTTATTTTATCTGAAATTCAATTTTTATACATGTAATATAAGATCTATAAAAGAAAAACGAAGTTAATCAAAGTAGAAAAACGAATTAATCAAAGTAGGAAAAAATATAAAAACAAACAATGCCAAATTTGCGTGTTCAAAGAGAATTGAACTAAAAAAATTCATGTTGTACTTTTGATTTTCTTTATTTTATTTAAAATCTAATTTTTATACACGTGATATAAGATGTTATCTTGTTATCCCAAAAATCTCAAAGATTCTTTTTAAGGAAAAAAATAACTAAAGTAGAAAAAAATAAAAGAACAAACAATGCCAAATTTCCGTGTTAAGACAGAATCGAACAAAAACAATTCATGTTGTAGTTTTAAATTTCACTCTTCTATTGTTCTTTATTACACTAAAAAAAAGTTAGAATTTTATTACAATATTGTAATACCAATTAAAACTTTTTCTGTCTTCTAGTTACTGCTAACAGAAGTGCATGATAAATATATTTTAAATTCTTCACATCCCATTCACCAGAAGGTTTTACTATAACTACGCATCACTCACTTTTTTTATAGAGACAAAAGCTTCGCTTACTAAATAAAAATCAAGCAAGAAAAATAGATGGGAAAGGAAAAAGAAAAAGGAGGAAAATAAGAAACTATTTAATATTCCTTTCTATTTCTTGTGAAATTAGACTTGTACGTGAAGCCTATTTTCTATTTCCTCACAAGAAAATTCAGCTCAAACGAAACTCCCCTCAAAATGCTAATTTTGAAACAGCTCTATCAATATCTTCAAAAATTAAACAATTCAGATCCAACAAAATTAACCTTCAAAGACAACCAAACCTAAAAGTCATAAACAGCGAAATTACAAATATATATAACACTAGAGTCTATCATGCTAAGCACAATAGATATTTAAATTTTCAATAATTCAAGGAGAAAAAGGCCTTAAACACAAAGCACAATACTTCCAAGTTCCAACTAACATCAATGAGAATAGGAAAACGAAAATGTAGAAAGCACAAAAAAAAAAAACGTAGAAGGCAAAAAGCTGGTGGCAACGATAAAAAAATAATCTTTGAGATGCGTCTTCACAGCCTCGGCTTTTTCTCCGCTAAAATTTTATTACCGGAAGGTTTCTCCGACATTGACTTCTTCTCATACTTTTGCCTACCTTAAGGTCTTTAGAATTTATAGAGAGATTGGAAAAAACAATTCTAAGAAAATGGAAACATAGAAGGAAGAGAGAGGGATTTGAGGAAAAGAAATAAAAAGAGTAATAATGAAAAAAAAAAGAAAACGGAAGAAAAGTAAGGAAGAAAGGGATTTGAGGAAAAGGAATAAATATAGTAATATGAGGATGAAGAAAACGGAAGAAAGAGACATTAAATGGGATTTGATGAATAGAAATAAATGGAGTAATAATGAGGATAAAAATATATTTTCCGGCAATTTTTTTGACAGAAAATAAGAAAAAAGTTCAAAATTATGAGAAAAAAGATAAATTGTCATACTGGTTAAAGATGCATGCCACGTCATCTTTTCTATTCCCAGTTTTATATATATATATATTATGTTATTTAATGTATTTTTAATTTTAATCTATGCCAGTCGCTAATTTTTTTTATGTTATTTAATGAATATTATGTTATTTATTAACAACATATTATATTTTATATTTGCACTTTTTATTTTTATGATGGTTATAATTTTTTATACAATATAAAATTAACTTACAATTTTATATAAAAATAATATATACGAAAATTAATTTATAAAAATTATATACCTAAATTAAGATGTAAAATTAATATTATAAAGATATTATATAAAAATTAATTAGGTATATTAGGGACCTAAATGAAAAAAGTAAAATTTATAATATGTTAAAGTAAAAGAATTATATAATAAAAATAATAATAAAATATTAATGGATAGTAAGGTCGGAGATGGTCTAATACATCAAATATGGTGTAGCACTATTCACATGGTGTAACACTATTCACACACTAAAATGATATTGAGTTGGAGCACCGAAACATAAAATATTCACTACAAAAAAATTACTAAATTGTGGCGATTAATTTATGGTAGTTATAAGAAACTTCCACTATATATTTGTTTTGTGGCGTTTGCATCAACTCCTACAAAATAATTCTTTTTGTGGTGATTTATTTGTGGAGGTTGTAAAAGACCTCCACTATATTTTTAATTTATGGCGTTTGTTTTAACTTTCACAAAATTATTCGTATTGTGACAGTTTTATTGTGGAAGTTTCTGATACCTTCATAAATACAACTTTAATTTTCTGCAAAATCTTTGCCATTCGATACAAATTGGAGGCCACTAACTCATGCAATATTTAGTCATTTTTTCTACCATCTTTTGAAAATCTAATCAAATTGCACATTTTAGTTAAATTTCTACAAATTGATGCAATTTATGCCAATTTTTAACCCTTGCCATTATTTGTCTTTTCCCCAACATTCTACCCCTACAAAAAGTAGACACAAAAACAGAGGTTTTTCATTATTTCCATATATTAGTTATTAGTTTTTCTTTTATTGTCTTCAGACATTTTTTTATTATTTTGTATATTCATCTTTAGCTAACGAAGGATTGAAATACCCCGACAAATAATTTAGCCACAATTAAAAAAATCAATAAAGGATATATAGAAAAATATTTATCAAACTAGATAGAGAACACAGATTTTTATTCACTTATAAATTCTTGAATATCTCTATATTGAAGCTGTCATGACCCAATTCCACCTATAGTTCGTGATGGCGCCCAACACTACAGCTAGACAAACCAACTAATAAATTAAACATATATCGATTATTTCCAGAATAAGTTTTCCAAGAAATTTTATTATTTTATTAGCAGTATTAAAGAAAATGAAAAGATACCGATAAATTTAAATCCAAGAAAAATAATAAGACACCAAATTCTACCAAGTCTTAAATTACTATACGGAACTATTCTCAAACTCGGAATTCCAAACGGACTTCAATTACTCAAAAACCTACCCCAAACCAAATTTAAAGAATTTTAAACCTTCAAATAATTAATTTTTACTATTAAGCGCCAAAACGCTCCCGGGTTGTCCAAAACCCAATCCGAACATACACCCAAGTCCGAAATCATCATACGAACCTATTGGAACCGTCAAATCCCGATTTCGGGGTCTTTTTTTCAAAATGTTGACCGAAGTCAAACTTGGTATTTTAAGGCCAACTTAAAAAACCAAGTGTTCCGATTTCAACCCGAACACTTCCAAATCCCAAACCAACCATCCCCGCCAGTCATAAATCAATAAAAGCATATACAGAGAGTTTAATTTTAGAGAACGGGGTTCTAAAAGTTAAAATAAACGGTTGGGTCATTACATAAGCTACATCTCCACCTTAGAAATTATGTAGCTACACCCCTTTTTACACAAATAGCCGTTCATATTCTTTGTTTAAGCACAAGCAAAAAATTCAACAACGGCTATATGGAGGAAATTTATCAAACTAGAGAGAAAACATGGTAGGGGGCTTTTTTATTTATTTATAAACTTCTGAATCTCTCTACATCGATGATATCTCTCCACCTTAGAAATTATGTAGCTACACCCCTTTTTACACAAATAGCCGTTCATATTCTTTGTTTAAGCACAAGCAAAAAATTTAACAACGGCTATAAGGAGGAAATTTATCAAACTAGAGAGAAAACATGGTAGAGGGCTTTTTTATTTATTTATAAACTTTTGAATCTCTCTACATCAATGATACCTCTCCACCTTAGAAATTATGCAGCTACACCCCTATTTATAATATTACAAACCAAATTTGACTGAAATTTAGAAAATTTATTCCTACATGATTTCGATCGTGAATCCTAATTAGACAAAATTAAATAAACTAACAAATATCATAGACAATTTAGGAATACTAATTAATCTTAGTTTAATTTTCAACTTCTAAATACTCAAAGGCATTTTTTCCGCTCTTTATTTGTCACTTCTCAATATTAAGATATTGATTTTATTGTGGATGGATTTTTTTCACAATTATGAAGAATATGACACCAGTAGCTAAATAGTTGAATGAAAAAAAAATATTGTTAAATCTCTTTATCCTCATATGTTCATATTTTTTGGCCTATTATAACGACTAGTTGTTATAAACCTATATTAACATTTAAAATTTAGATCTTATTTGGTTGTTATAAGCAAAATTACCCAAAAATAGTTTTTTCAATTTTTTTATATTTAAAAGATAAAAAATATATTTAGATTTAACATCTAAAAAGATATTCATATTTCATTAATTAAAATTTTAAATAATTAGTACGATATTAATACATCCGTAACTAGTTGTTACATTTATTTTATCTAGGGATTTTAGCAATTTTATTATGTTCAAAAATATTATTTTATTGTTGGAAAAATACTTAATTTTCTCAAAAACTTATTTGTTGCCTTAATTTTCCTTTTTTTGTTTTGCTCGAAAGTAAACGCGGTAAGTTCTCCCTCCTTTTCCAAAACATTTCCCGAATCTTTCCCTCTTTTAATTTCATTATGCATTTAGCCCTAGGTTTTCCCTTTTCAACACCTCGGTTGAACTGCTTCTTCTCTAGTGCATTGCTTCCCTTCATATGCGCTCTCTCAATTTTCTATCCATATTAGTCACATTTTGTAAGTATTATTCTTCATCTCAATTTATGGCTCCTACTCTGATTTTTGAATCACAGATTATGTTTTTTGTGTTGCTCCATTATTTCAATTTAAGTAATTTTTTTATTAAGATATTTTCAGGCTAGGAATATGATTTATTGGTATTGCATTGTGTCTTGGGAATTTCTGAAGTGAAGTATCCATTTGGGCGAATCAACTTCAGAATGTCATTGCTCGTCTAAAGGTTTTTTTTCTTTTCCTCTTAATTTTATTTATTTTCTTTATCTCAGTAGCAGTAGAATTTGGGTTTTTCAGTTGTAGTTATTGCTTGAACCAGTAATGAAACCTTTATGGACAATCTAACTTGAAATTTATTCTCTTTTTTAAAGAGTGTTGATATTCGAGGGAAGACCATTAGATGTTTTGCTTCTGGCTACAGATTACTCAGTGTTGTAGGTAGAAGCTCCTTTATTTAACGCAAAGTTTTTTCCAGATTTCAATTAGAATTTAGTTCTGTTGTGTGATGTTGAAATTGATTGACCCACAAATTAATATAATGTGGGAATTGGGAGAGCATAAATGCATTTTATCCTGCGGATTATTCAGTCAGGGAACTTGCTAATATTTTTCTCACTTCTACATTGAGGAATATCAAGATAGTACATGGTCTTCAATGAATGCATCTCTTTTACTTGATATGGTGACAAATTTATTCTTCTCTAGCTCATACTTTAGTAGTTTAGTTTTTCACTTTTCTTAAAAAAATAAATTACTGCAGATGAAAACTTCCTCTAGTAATATGTCTTGCATCATATCATTATTGCAGATGTGCACGTTTCTAAGAGTACTGGACATGGTGTAATTTCAAACCCGCTATCAGGTAAGTTGACTCATTTTATTGTAAAAACTAGCTTATCTACGGCTCGCATAAGTTTTTGAACTTATTTTATATATGCCTTCAAATTTGAATATTTCTAGCAGACAAAGATCAGTAGGCAGGTAAATTATTTGTATGCTACTGATATTTTATTTATTTGGAAAAAGAAAATGACTCCAACTTTCTATATAATTACTCGAAATTGAGGGTGAAGAACATGAGCCTTACATCGGAGTATCTCAAGCATAAATATGGTATACTACGTAGATGATGTTTTCAATTAAGGATAGAGTAGTTTTTGTAAACCTAAAGCCAAGAGAGTTGTATGATACAGAAGAAGTTGTGGAAGATGAAGGTTATGAGAATGAGTCATACTAAGAGTTAGGATATAACTAGCTACAGACCATCTAATTGATGATGTAGTCGAGGCAAATACTGCTACTTATTTGGCAACAAATACATACAAATCCGAATAAATTTTTTATTTAATATGGTGTTTTATCTAAAGGTAACAATATTGCATCTTTAAGTAGTGCTTATTTATTTCATTTATAGATATGTTTAGAGATGATATTCATATTTGGTTTAAAGGTATGTTCAGAAATGGTATTCACATTTGTATTCGTATGTGTTCCCCATAAGAGGATCTCTTACTGTGGAGTAATTCTATGGACAAACTTTGATGAAGCCAACTTGATTGAATGCTAATCTATGCATATTTTGGTTTAACAGATTGATATGATGTTATGATGGCATTGAGTGGTAAGTTTTGCTTGTTAACTCATTTCCTAAATCTTTTCACATATTTTCCCCAGGTCACATTAAGTAACTAAGAGTAATTTGTTATATATTCTCTTGTAGTTTTTGCGAATAATACATATACTAGTGGAATTCATGCCTTAGAAAAAGTTTTGCGCGTTTTAATTTGTTGCTTCTTTTGTTTGAAGTTGGATCCAACAGATGTTAAAATGCTTGGTTTATTTAACTAACTACTCCTATTATACCACTCCTATTTTATTCAGTTCATTTCTTCTACTTCAATTTTCTAGTGTTATTATTTCGATGCAAGTTTGTTAATTATTGGGATAGATTACAGCTTGTAATTTATTTGCTTGATTCTAATGTTAGAAAGCCTATAGTGGTTAATTTATATTTTATTAGTTACATTATGATTTTCGTGAATATATGGCAAGAATTTATGCTATCAAGTAAAATAGTTCGTGGATATAAGTGTTGTGATGATATCCAAAGAAATAGCTTTGTACTTTAGCTCTTATTCATGTGAGTATCTAACAACTTCAGTTCAATGCTATTGTTAGATCAAGTAACAGATTTACTTGTAAGAAGAATCAGACCTTTCGTTTATTTATATACCAAGATGTGTAGAGTGAGCCTGCTTCATTCGGTGGATGTGAGAATATGATCAGGTGACAACAATACAAATCACCAAGCAAATACTTAGCAGATCTGCATATTTACTTATTATGGATAGCTGTAGAATGTATAATGTTTAAATTATCAAATGTGTTTTTATAACTTTAGTGTGATATGAATTTGAATGTGTTGATGTTTGTTACTATAGATATTCTTAATGGAATGGATTTATGTTGTATGAGTTATTGAGTTTATTTATTGAATCCTTGAATTAAAAATTTCCATTATTGTGACAGTTATAAGCTGCCACTGATTATTTTTTTTAAAGATTGAGATCAAATTGTGTGGGTTTATAACTCTCTCACATTATTTTTTAAAAAATATTGAGATCATATATTGGGTGTTACAAACCGTTGCTAATTGCCTTTAAAAACCATCACAGATTAAAAATTTATATTGTGGCGGTCGTCGTGGAAGTTTTACAAAATTGCCACAGAAATGCTCGTGGCGAAGGTAACTGTGGTGTTTTTTGAAACCGCCACAATTCATTTTGTAGGGGTCAAAAACCGCCACAAAACTTTAAAAAATCCCCACAAAATGAGCCTTTTCTTGTAGTGTATTACACCAAAATAGAATTTGGTATAATATTTTGTGTAAGGTCGGAGATGGTCTAATACAATGGCCTTCCAATTTTGTTAAACGAAGCATATATGCAAGGAAGAGGAAGAGATCTATAGAAAGGAGTTTGGATTTGACGGAATGGACAAAACAATAGTTAAGGTTCATGAACAAATTAAAAGGTGGGAAAATATATTTGATAAGGATGACAAAGTCGTACTCTATTTCTATTTTCTCCACTACCCCAACCTCTTTTCACACAAATCCATCAATTATTACTCGGTAAATGATTATTCTAGCACTATAAAAGATCGTGGTGCGGTGAATAAAATTTTTTACTTCTTAATGAGTTATTTTGATCTTGAGTCTTTGAAATAAAAAAAAATAATCGGGAGTGCTCCTACTTTAATGGGCCTTACACAATGTGAATTTAGATGTATAGCGAACACCGAGGTGAATCCTAGTAATAGTTGCTAGTATAAGTGAGTGGTTATTTACTTGGTTAGCCTAATTAGCTAGAGTTCTTTGGGGGTTACTATAGCATTTGTATATATAAAGCCTCTTCGGTTTTGGTTAACCCACTGTTAATGGAAGGTAAGCTGACTGAACTTTCCCAAACTTCTCATCTCAGATTCTCCTAATTAAGGAGGAACAACATTTGTTACATTGGGCCATTGTCTTATAAGTAGGAACAACATTTGTTACATTGGACCATTTCCTTTTCTTCATTATTTCTTTTTCACAAAAGTTGCAATATTAACATTAGCGTTCTAATATCTCATTTATGCGATAGCCTCAAAAGGATCATTTCATTTCCTTCACATATATATAGTTCACTTATCTTCTAGGATTCTTCGAATCAATAATCCTAGAATGTTATGAATCTGACGATTTACTTTGTTAATGATCATAAAGTTGAGGTTCCTTTCTTTCTTTAGATATATGCTGAGAATGGTTTGGTTTTTTTAGGTGTGACATGTGAGAGCATATCAAAAATATATAGCGAGCGGAACAGAGAGAGAATGAAACAGAAGAATCTTGTCTTGATGTTGGATGATATTAATGAGTTAGAATTGTGAAATAAAACTTAATAAGTAATGGAAACAAATTGAATACATTACAAATTATAAACTTGTAGTAGATTTACAATACGTATGGGAGAATGAAAAGTGACCAAAAGCCAATATATATGTACATGTACTGCAGTCCGATTAGAATTCACAACTACTCCTGGTCTGACAATTAAAACACATCAACCAAGATGAACGGTCGATAGGAGGCTACTGGCTAAATGAGAGAAAATGATGGCCGTCGAAGCTGGAACACTGAGGATGAAGAGGACTAACATCCCAAGAGCCAAACTAGGCCTTGTACTCAACAAATGCATTTGTAAACAGCCTACCAAATTGCATATTACCTCATCATAAGAAGCATAATATTGCTTTTCCCATTCCATCCATTCTGCAGGTGGCTCATAATTTCTCTCAATCACCTTCATCTCATGAACTCTTTTCCTTAACACAATCATGCTTTCATCCACCAATCGCCCCCTATAATCCCAGTCACAAGAATCGTTACGTCGTGCAGAAATTTTACCCTTTGATCTAATTCTCAGGTGAAGCAATTTTGGATCAGAGAAAGACAAAGATGGAAGTGTACAAGAAGAAAAGATGACTTTTTCCATGGCTGATAACAAGATAGTATTCAAGTACATAATTTGGTTGGCTTGCTCTTGGCTATTTATATAAGATGAAGCATTAAGGGAATATCAAGATTTATGATTGAAAAGGAAAAAGAAACTACCTGGTAACGGTTGCCACATGTGACATGACACTTTCTCAGATCCACATAAGGTTGACATTGCTGTTTTAATGTTCAAAGCCGACCTGGTGAATTATTTTAAGCAAGGGTCGGTGATCATATACTCTGTACTATTTTTTAGTCAGATTGTACTAATATTTAATGTGCTGACTTAGCTTGAAAACTGAAAAGCGCTTTAAGTCAACTAGATGAGTTTTTTGAAAAATAACACCATTATTTGGGTTATGTATATGCAAACAAACAATGTGGTGCTTTAATGAAGTGTCGTGGCAATTATAATGTCCCCTGCAGCCCATCAATTTTATTCAAGTGTGCTTTACTAAGAGCGTTTGCGATGTGGTGCTTTAAGTCGACTGGTCGACTCAAGCATATAAGGGACCTAAAGTCAAAATTTAATATAAGGCGTAATTTTTTAAAGGAAAATTTTAAGATATGTTTTTATTTGAAGTTTATTCTTCTAATTTTTTGAGATATAAAGTTGTTAATAATTTTTTATAATTTATTTTTTTCTAATAATTCTTGCTCGATTGATAATATAACCAACTTATTTAATATTTTTTGAGATATTGTTGATTTACATAAGATTTTACAAATCATAGAGGTATAGAACTATTGGAAGTTTAAAAATATTGCTGAACACTTGAACTAGTAAAATCTTGGAGAAAGCAGGTGAGTAATGAAATCTTGGAAAAAGAAGATAAGTAAGAATATCAATGAGAAAGAAAAAAAAATATGTATGGTTTTATGAAAAATTGGAAAAAAAAAGAGATTGATTTGGACAAATTAAAGAAGAGAGAGCAAATTTGTTAATGAATGAGTAAAAGGTGGAAAACTGAAGGCTGGAAAAATTATTCATCTACCCATTTTTAATTAAGTCAAATTATTACTTTATTTATATATCTAAAAAAATTTCTTTCCTTTTATATTAAAAACTCTACTTTTATATTTAAAGTACTAAACATTATTTTTTAAATACCCATGAACCTATCACTTTTAAAAAATGGAGCCCCAAATTTGGGGGCCTGAGGCACAAGCCTTACTACTGTTGGAGCAGGCCCTGTAAGTAGATAGCGATTTTATATCCAAAATAAGCACATAAGAGTAGGGGTGTACATAGGTCGGGTTGGTTCGGATTTTGCAATTACCAAACCAAACCAATTGTATCGGATTTTTAAATCTATAGACCAAACCAAACTAACAAAAGTCAAGTTTTTCAATATCGGGTTTCTCGGAGTTTTTTCCGATAAACTTGTGCTCCAAATATTTCTATAGTCCTAAATACAATTTTACCAATAACAATCATATTTTTATTTTTTAGCATTGACCTCAACTATGCTAGTCAATAGATTGTATGGTTCCACTTTATAAAGGTCTCTACTTTATAAATTATTTTCCACTTTACACTAAAATGCTAATAAAAGCTTAAATCAATTGACATGTCCAACTTCAATTGAACCTTAGATAAATAATTAGAAAGAGTATGTTGGAGTATCATGGATAAATCAATTGCTTTAAGTATTATAAAATGTCTAATTTCTCCGACTGTCAAATCAACTGAACCTTAAAGAAACAATGTAATACAAAAGCTTCTTAATCGATTAAAAACCATGCACCAACTTTCTTTTAATTAATTACCTTAAAGTAGTAAAGATTTCAAAAATAATTATAAAGCAAATTGTAGTTAACTATCCCTCTAATCAATCCTCAAAAGTGAGTCTGTATATTCCAAAAGAAAAGAAACAATTAACATATTTAATATTAAATAATATAAAAAAATAACTATACTCATTAACAATTGAATATAAATTATTACCTTCTTCAACTTGCTCAATTTGATGGACTTCCTCTAACATGTCTTCAAACTTATATTCCTTGAAAATACATCAATGTAAGAAATAATGTAGGAAATACATCACTCTTAATTTTACATAGTCCATATTATTTAACTAAATGATTCAAAATATAAGTAAAAAAGTTTCAATATCTTTTTAATTAACAATCAATTACTCATGTTAATCAACTAAGAGAAACAAAATAAACAAATGAATTCGATAATAGGGAGGAATACAACAGATTTGCAAAAAAACTCGCTAATTGGAAAAAGAAAAATCTTAGTTAATTGGGAAAAAGCAAGGCGTATGTATCCAGTTAAAAGAAAACATGTAAAATAAGATAGGGAAGAGCCTTACCGATGAGAGCAAAAGAGAGTTGATAGGGTTTGAGCTAATTGGGGG